CCCACCCCAACTGTGATATTACAGTGAATAGGAGAACCAGTATCTTTCAGGAGACAGAGCTGTTCAATCTTAAAGGGAAAACTAGCTAATGCAATCGGCTTTAGTGGAAGACTGAGGTTTCACAATGCAATAATTCACAGAGGCACAGTGGGAAAAGCTAAGCAGGAAATTGTTGTTCTGTACTTTTATAAAGTTCAATCCAAGGCACAAAAATGTTTCCCTGGGCTTTTAAAGTTTCCCATGGTGGAAAGGAGGTGTGTCTTATTGTTAAGAAAGCTACTCTTAAAACTATTTTCTCCCTAGAAAACTAATACTCTAATTTTGTTTTAGGCTCTAATAACTGAAAAGAAACCCCATTTTACAATGTGTCATGTTAAACAGTAAAACTATTATCTTACAAGCATTTTTATAAGCCACTTTTTATCCACAACCTAATTATACTTATTAATCTGAAAAACATATCCTTAATCTCTTTGGCAACTTCCTAAACTTGAAATGTTTCTTGTTTTCCCTTTCTTCACTTCATTTTTACCTTTATTATTTTTACCTGTACTCATTATTACCTTTGTCACTATAAGTTTAGAATGGCAACTATCTTATAACGTTGCTCTGACATAGCACAATGCCTTCTTCTTGTTTCCACAGATCTTAAGTAATCCAAATGTTAAAAGTCCTACTGTACCTTTCTATGTAACCTATTCCATTTTTTGTCATCTCTTAGCATATAACATGCTTTTAAAAGCATAATTTTAATTAAATTTGTAAATTTACAGGATTTTATTGCCTACTACATAAACATTAGAATACCTAATTTAGATCCCCATCGTAATTTAAAACTGTTTAGTAGTAAATATTTTAGCAAATTTTTAATGCCATTATGGACAGTTTATTCAGCTATTTATAAAGACTCCAATGGTGTATTATAATATTACAGTACTTTAAACTTACATATCACATACAATTCAGCCCAAAAATGGTCAAAAAACATAACCTATACATATGATAAAATGTGAATAAAATACAAGTCTCATATTAACAGAGAAGAGCCAACATATCTACGGAAAAATGAATACAAAGGAGAAATTTTCTATTATGGGGAATGTGAAGCTCTATAGTAAAGATTACACAAATTAACAGTTAAATTTTAAGAAATACATGATCCAGGATATAAAACTAACTTATACTAGAGACTTAAATGAAGAAATCAAGGCAATAAAGATTTAGAAGGAAATGGAGGAGGCAACTCATACAGATCAAAGAAAGTGGTTCTGAGAACCTATCCTTGTGAAAGACCATCCCACCGCAGTACTTTGACTACCTTAGAGTACAACACCAAAACCTGGTGTTTCTCAGTGCTTCCCAATGTTTTCCTCAAGCATACTTTAAAAAATAACATCTGTAAGGCAACCAGGAACAAGGAGTTGCTACTGGTTAAGAGGCAACAAACCTACAGGCTCTAGCCACTTTTATTCATGGCAAGTAGCTTGGGAAGCTCTAATTTAGAGTATCAGAAGGGTAACCTATAAAATAAACTCTACCTTTGTAAGCATCATAAAAACAAGGAAGTTATAAGTAAGCATCACAGGAAATAATTTCTGATTACTCCGAACAAACCAATAAATGAATGACTTAGACTACCACAATTACACACAATGCTGCATTCCTAAAAAAATCCCAGTCAGCCTACGCTTTATTTGTGCTCCCTTTCTTAATTAAAAAAAAAAAAAAGTGAAATATACCCCTTTGGGAAGTGTAAAAGACATATTTTTAGTACAAGTAATTGCTAATCAAAGGCTAGAAAAACTCTTCTACAAAAGTGCTTCTTTCACCCTTGAGAAAAGCCTTTTTTCTTCTTCACTATTGTTACCAGTAATGAAGGCTCCTTAAAATAGTATCAATTTTTCTTTATTAGCTATACAAATGGCCACAGGTACATCTCTTTACTGATTATCTATTCTTTCTTAAAGAGCACAAGTTTTTCTTGTGGAATGAGGGGCAGGAAATCATTTCTAGAATTCATCTAAGGTAGATGATTCTAAGTTGTGACTGACAGACAAAAAATGTATACAGAGCACAGTTTTTAGCAAATATCTTTTATATGATTCAAATGTAGTTTACTCACCAAGAGGATTTTAAAGAAAACTATCAACTTAGGAAGAACTTTGTAAATTTATAGACTCAACAGTCACATAGTACTTCTTTCTTAGATAAATCAATAAAACTAGAACTCAAAAAACTGAATCAAAATAAAACCAGTCAATAAAAATATCTATAGAAATTAAGAATTCCAAAATGCAGTGATAACGAAAAAGAATATATACATCATGTCTGTATTGCTTCAGAAGTATCTGGTCAAAAGTGTATTACCAGCAGAGGGGGGCAATTAATCTGCTTATTTTAATGTCACTGTCCCATTTGTCTTGAGACTCCACAAGACCGCTGTTTTCAATTTAAAACCATGCATTATTGCCTCTGCCCTTAATCATACAAATCCCCATAACCTAAAATGCTTTACTATATAGCTAATCTCTACAAGAAATATGGCAATCCTCCAACTGAGTAATTTTTCCTTCCTGTCTCCAATGAGATATATTTATTATCCCTGTTACACAGATAACAAGCTTCCTTGAGAAGAAATGGTTAGGTGAAACAACAGGTGTTCTGATTCCTAAGTCAGTGCTTCTATCAGAAGAACATATTTTTTTGTTAGTCTATTATGATTCTACACCTAAGGGATCTTTTTAAGTCCTGCCATAGGGAATAAGTTTGTGTTCTTTCTGAATCCCAGGTTTATTCTCACTAGCTTTATGTCAAAGCCACAATGAGCAGCACCTAATCCATCAGTCTGGGCTGTCTTTGATCAGCCCCACTCCTAGTTATGCAGATTATGTCCCTTATTAAATTATCCTAAAGTAAACTGCCCATTAATATAGCCAATATTTTTAGATTTTCACTATTTTACTCAGTTTCTAAAATTTACAACTCCAACAACATTTCCCAGTTATCATTAGCTTAGACAAGAAGCATTACACTCCAGGGCAAGTCACCATAAGCTCTTTCTCAGAAGTCTACAAAGCCTTACTTTAAATTAGCATTAGCATGTGCCAGCCACTATCTTATTGAAAGCCAAAATCACCTTTAAATATTTAAACTTTTAGAGACGACATGTCAAATTTATTACATATACTTCAAAATTCAATGGGGTTTCCTACAATCCTAAAACTACATTCTGGTTCACTGAGATACAGTCAGGAGTAAATCATAAACTCAAAAAACACTAGAGCTGGAAGGCTTTCAAGGTCCACAAGACAAGTTAGTTTAACAAGACAAGTTAAATTACTGAAACAATTCAACAGTAAAAATTATCCAGAAACCAAGAGCTGAAATTAAAAGTAAATTTATTTAAAATGTTCAGGCCCTGGACAGGTAACTCAGTTGTTTAGAGTGTCGTCCCGATACACTAAGTTTGCTGGATCACCAGTCAGGGCACATACAAGAAGCAACCAATGAATGCATAAATAATAAACGGAACAACAAATCTCTCTCTCCCTCCCCCTTCCTCTCTCTCTTTTAAATCAACAAATTAAAAATAATTTTAATGTTCATGTATGAAAAAATTATTTGAAATTTAAAATACTTTCAATNCTCTCTCTCCCTCCCCCTTCCTCTCTCTCTTTTAAATCAACAAATTAAAAATAATTTTAATGTTCATGTATGAAAAAATTATTTGAAATTTAAAATACACTTTCAACAGAAATGACATTATAGATGCTAAATGAGCTCACAAACCAGTTCACAAATACATTTTCAAGGGTCTTAGAAATTTTTGGCACTTTATTCTCATTATGCTTCTAAGAGTATGTTCTCCTTTTACTTGACGCAGAAATGACACTAACATTACTCAGCTTTTCGGATTATGATTAGAGTTGTTTTTTGGCTCACAAATGAAATAAAGGAGAAAGAGCTTTCTACACTAATGAAAAAGTAAATATTTAACATTACCAAAGGTTAGATTCAAATTTTAAAACACATAGATGAAAGAAAACACTTGTCTGGGTGGAAGATAGCAATGTTAAAAACTAGGCTGGTCACCGGGAAATCTAACGAGACTAGAGTAACTAAATAAATTAGAAATGAAGAGAGAACCTGAAAAATCAAAAGTCTAGGGTAGGGGTTAGCAACGTTTTTCTGTTTAAGGGAACAGATATTTATGGTCTCTGTTGCAACTACTCAAGTCTGCCATTGCAGTATGAAAGTATCCATAAACAAAATGTAAATGAATAAGCTTGGCTATGTTCCAATAAAATTTTATATATGGACATTGAAATTTGGATTTCATATATTTTTCATATGCCACAAAATCATTACTCTTCTTTGATTATTTTCAATTATTTAAAAATGCTGGCCCTGGCCAGGTAGCTCAGTTGGTTAGAGCATTGAACCAACATGCCAAGATTGCAGGTTTGATTCCCGGTCAGGGCACATACAAGCAGCCGCCAATGAATGCATCAATAAGTAGAACGGCAAATCGATGTTTCTATCTCTTGCCCCCTTTCTCTCTCCCTGTCTCTCTAAATTCAATCAATAAATTAACTAAATTTTTAAAAAATGCTAAAACCAACTCATGGGCCAGACGAAAACAGGTGGCAGGCCCGGATTTGGCCTGTGGACTATATAGCTTGCCAGCCTCCAGTCTAGGAGATAGTGGGGAGGAGAGGCAGGGTCTACCTGGTTTAATAACTAGGGGGACTATCAATGAATACTTCCATTAAATCTAACCAGAAAAGCAGCTCACTTCCAACATGTGTATATTGTCAGTTTCAGTTGCAAAAAAACAGGAATAGTCCATTGTGCTTAATATTAAAAGAGCTCCAGAAACATAATCATTGATCCTGGGCAAAAATTATTCTCATAAATTATGGTACACTAGTCATAATTTTAAACAAATAATTCATTCTATGGAATCGTAAAATTATAACAATAAATGTATTATTAATTACCATTTTGTCCCTGAGTCGCTCTCCACGGATAAAAAAGTCAGCACAGCCATTCTCTTCCTGGTGAGAGACTTTGAAGACAGTGACGCAGCTCAGTCCACTCCCTCCAAGTGGTAACCATCCACCACTTGAGTCATCCCGGGTCATCACCACAGCTCGCACTCGTGCATAACTATTACTAAAATAAATGCAAAGATTATAAATTAGCTTTCCCATAAACAAAAACCAGTCAAGCTGTCAGTCTTACATGAAAAACCGAAGACCATGTTAGTTAATGTGTAGTAACTAAAGTGTTTACTACTTCCATGATAGTCCACAGAAAGTAACCTATTTGAAAGAGGTCAAAAACCACAAACTAACTTAAAAGGTTAACCTTTATTTAGAAAACTAACCTCACAATAAGACTACAGAACTCTTACTTCAATTAATCATTTATAGTTTTAAGCACATTTGAGTGCCATGGAGCAAGTTAAGAAAAACCCCGGAGACAAACACTCAAATTACATGGGCCATCATCAAACTTGTCTATATATATTCACCTGGACAAATTACTACTGTATTTTGGTATATTTAATAGTGAAACCTCTAAGTTTCTAACACTTCTGGATTAGATTATAAATAAAATTCTAAACTCGGATACCCCACTTTTTATTTCTTCTAAGAACTGGAATCTAAATCACACAAATCATATAAAGACAAATGTTCTGTTTCAGTAACTTTATTGAGCAAATTAGCCTATAGAAAGCTTTCATGCCTTCTTCTTGGCAGACTCTATTTTGAAGAAACTACATTCTAGTTCCACTCAGAATCATTTCCCAGTATTAACCACAACTATATTTTACACAAAATCTAAGTGTGTTTCAGCTACTAATGTTCTAGATAACCAACACCTAAGCATTTTAGTTCTAAAACTTTTAATAAAATTACTGATGAAATTCTTTCTAAGAGTAGTATATCTTGCTGACTTCTTAGAAAATTATACTGAACTTAAACTTGTCTTGGTTATTATGAATGTCAACAGAGGTTCTATGTAACAGCTCTATGCTACTTAGTCTCTCTGTATGTTCTAAGTCTTAGGCTGCCAGCTGTAATTTCTCGTCATAGTGCTTGTCTGAAATCTCCCCCTCTCCTTTCTTTTACTTTATGTATTTTATTGAAAGGTATTTCACATATGATAACATATATTGATTTTAAATACATAATTCAACAAATTCTGACAAATGTACATATCTGCATAACCAACATGATAATCATGATATAAAAGATTTTCACGACTCCAGAAAATTCCCTTAAGCCTCCTTCCCATCAAATAGATAACCATGGTTCTGATTTCTAACATATACATTACTTTTGTCTATTATGGTACTTCACATAAATGGAATCAAACAGTATCACCACTTGTACCCTTTAAGTCTGATTGCTTTCACTAATTATGTTATTGTATTAACAGTTCTTTTTTTTTTCCCCCCTGCTAGTCCTCTCACTGAATAAATATATCATATTGTATTTATTCTTTCTTACATTGATGGACACTTGGACTGATCCTGGCTGTTGATTATTATGAATAAAGCTGTTAAAAATATTCTAGTACAGCCTTTCTATAGAGACATATGCTTTCATTTCTCTTAATTACCTAGGAATGGAATTGATAGGTCATAGGATAGTATGTTTAACTAAACTAAAATCCTGTTTTCCAAACTGGTTATACCATTATCATAGTCCCATCAATAATGTATGGTAGTTTCAGTTGCTCCACATCCTTACCAACACTGGATGCTTTCAGACTTTTAAATTTAATTCATTGTAGTGAGTATATAGTGGTAACCTATTCTGGTTTTAATACCCATTTCCCTGATGACTCATGATGTTGAGCATCTTTTCATATGCTTACTGGCCATTTGTATGGCTTCTTTATAAGTCTTTTGATTTTTTTGTTTTTGTTTTTTATTATGCTGCATTTTATTACTGATTTTTTAGAAGTTCTTTATATATTCTATATACAAATCTCATCAGTGAGCTATACACTTTTAAAGCTGTACTGTGCTGTGGTTGAGTGAGAAGTCTAAAGTCAAGCTTTCAAAATTTGGATCCTGGCTCAAAAACTTACTAGCTGTGTGTCCTTGAGATGTCACAGAATTCACCTATAAAAAATGTAAACAATGCCTGACATATAATAAACACTATAGAAGTATTAATTATTATTACTACAACAAAGAATTTTAAGCTGATGTAGTTGTCATCCTGGTAATTCAAAGCAAGGTAGGGAAAAATAAATTTTACATGGATAACTATAATCGTCTATTACTAGGGTCAAAATAATTCTTTATATAGAAGCTCTGAAAGTCTTGAGCTTTACAGGTGACATTCTATCTAAGTTTTTTATTATTCAGTTATTCAGAGGCTCTAATTCTAGTTTTGGCCCAATGCTGACCAATCTTCAACTCAGAGAACTGGTCAGTGGAGGTATGGATGCATAAAGGCTGGACTGACATAAATATCAAATTGGAATCCTCCTCCTGGGAGGGACTGGAACAAATACCTCTACTATAAACACAGCATGTATCTCAAGAACCCAGGGAAACTTATTTCGGTGGAAACCAACTTGAAGGTGTAGACAGAATACTAGATGAAAATCATTTTCTTTCAAGTCTAAGGATATATCAAAAGCACAGCACCTAACTTAGACATATTAGGTTTAAATGTTTGTGAACTAAACTAAACCCTTGTATTTGAAGCTCAACACATTTGAAGTTCAGTGAAGTTACCAAGAAGTGGGTTAAAACCTAAATTCAAGTTCCCAATAATAATTTAGGTGTCTATTTTACTACAGAATCCTGACTTGTCCTTCTTGTCTAATTAGGTAATAACTGGAAAATTTAAAATTTTTATACTAGATTCTGTAAGACTTGGAGAAAAATACCCAATTTAGAAGCTTAGGGTATATCTTGACTACAGAGTGTGAGAACAGCTATCCTCTTTAGGGCACAGACTCTTATTTTATCATCTCTGAATCTTTCAAACTCTCATTTACAACTTGTATAATGGTTCCCAGGCATATTCTATATTTTAAAACTATAAAAATGTACGTAAGTAAGATTATTTAAAAAAATCCTAGTAGTCACTTTAGGATGGTGAAATTAGGTATAATCTCTTCATTTCTGAGTTTCTTCAAAAATTATTAAATTAATATTTAAAAACTATAGGAAATTTAAATCAATTAAAAACACACATTTTATCTGTCTTTGGCTTTACACAAGCTATTGTAAACATTTTAGAATGTTATTTTCAACAGTGTATAAATATGTTTTAAACAAAAGTACCCCTAACATAATTCCTCACAACAGCCCCAATTTCTTTTGTTTTACTTTATAAAAGTGCGACCTAGAAGAGATGTGCTGTGCTGTCTAGGAAAATTGAATAAAACAATATTTCCTCACAGGAAGAGTAAAGCTGCCCTATTCACTGCTCACCTTAACACAACAAGAGATTTTTAAGTTGGCCAGTAATTTAAATAAACTTTTTTGAATCTCATGTTTTCAACTATACTAAATATATGTGTTTTTCTTATCTATTCAACATGATCCTTCAAGCTTTAAAGTATTCCAAAAACCTATGTAAATCTGTATTCCCCTTACCATAGCCTTCATTAGTTTATAATTTAACAACTCAGCTTTCAACTTCAAGACCTAAGACTAGAATAAATACTTACCATAAAAATTCAAGTTGTTCAATATCATGTGGGGTTATTTTTTGTGACAGACCTTCATTCTTGACAAGATTAATATTTTCCACTTGTTTTTAATCTCATAACCTCCTTGCCCTCAAATGTCCTCCTCTTTTCCCAAATAAAAGCAGTAATTCTTGTCTAAAACACGAACCCGCTCCCAAAGACTAATGGCAGCTCTTACAAACTGTCATATTCTTCTTTATAGCATATTAAAGTTTGCACTTGTCATTCCCTCCTTCCATAAAACTGACTTAAGAGCAAGAAACCAAATCATACTCTTCTATTTAAAGTAATAAACATTTTTCCTGATCACGTAAACAATAGAAGCCCATTCTAATAAATGTGCAAAGTAAAGAAAAATAATATTTGCCATCATGGAATTTATATTTAAAAATTTGTTAGATTTTTACTTTCTGGGTATCATATTTGCAACCTATTAGTCTCTGACATAACAGCCACTGATGATGACAACGTGCTCTCAGAAATTTCACTCTAATAGTTAGTTGAAAGGCATTTGTTCCCGCTGATTTACCCAAAAAGTCAAATCTGACAAGAAATAGTTCTTTAGTATTATTTTCAAAAATACTTCCAACTAAAGCTCTATTCTTCACGTTGACAATGAACTACATAACAACCACTTTTTAAGCCTAGCTTTCATTCTAATGAAATGAAGAGGCTTTTATTGCAAATTGTTGCTTGGTTTCCTTTATTTTATTCAAAATCTAAATTGTACTTCAACTGTTAATCTCTGATCTTATTTGAACAATGACATCAAATATATCCTTTCATCCACAGTAGATTTAGACAACAAATGTAGAAATCCAGGTGAGAGGTGCTGTTGGATTGGACTAGGGTGATACTAACGGACACAGAGAAATGGACTGACTCGGGTCTACTTTGGGGGAAGAGCCAAAATAACTTGCTGATGAGGTTATGACTATACAGCAAGTGTTCTTAATTATCTAATCTTAATAGTAACCATGAGTTTTATTTTCTAGAATTTTCAACTGGTATTTCAAGAAAAGTTAAGGCAAAAGGAGGACCAAACACAAAGATAAACGGCCCCTTTTTTAGTTTCCTTTTGCCCTTGTAGAAACCTCCTGCTCTGTTACTACCAAACCTATTATATATTTACCCATCTGCCTTCTTGCTCTTTTCATTCTTTCTGTGCTATCTTTCCTATCCTTTGTCTTTGTTCTGTTGATCTGCATAAATTCTTTATATTATAGATATTAATTCTTTGCCAGTTACTTTAATTATATATACCTCCTTCCAATCTGTGCCTTCTTTTATTTTTTAATGTTCATCGTTTAAAGAACAAAGCTTTTATTTTACTACGGTCAAATGTATTTCATTTTTTCTTTTATGATTTCTGCTGTTGACTTTTTGTAAGATCTCATACATACATACCTATTTTAAACCTTTTAGAGCCCATTAAGAAATAAAACTTT